TTTCATTATTATTAGGTCTTAGCTATTAAAGACGATGAAAGACGATTTGACATGTTAGTTCGTGATTGTTTGGCTCATGATGGACACAGGGCACCAATTCAATTAGTTGATCGAAGGTAAAGTAATCGATATTTAATTAAAACGATAAATGAATTAGATGTAAGTTTATTTAATGTTTTTTCTTTATTACAGAGGTTGTGTGAGCAGACCAAGAATTATGAGCGGTTTCCAAAAAATTAGAGATTTTGGTCCAAGTGCTACTGTTGTTTCTTATGCTTACTTCCAGGTGAAATATTTTATATTTTACACTATTTTATTACTGTCAAACTATGTTATATTAAATTATAATTTATTTTCATTCTGATTTTTAGGCTTTCAAATTCCCTGATGCAATGAGCGTTCACTTCCAATGTGTCATCCAGGTAAACTTTGATAATTTATTTACATTTAATAAATTAAATTTATTAAATTATTATGATTTCATCATCTTTATATAAATTATTTATTTATTTCTTCATTTATTCATTAATATAGGTATGCAGAGATAAATGCCCAGAACCAGATTGTGGAGGAGGAGGTAAGAATTATGAACTAACATTTTTATATTTTATACAATATTTAAAATTGTATAAGGCTTTTTTCTTACTATTGTTTAAATTATAAATCATCAAATCAAGTCAATCAACTATTTGTTGATTTTTTGTGGTAACCAGTTGGAAAAATTCTAAGTATTAAAATTTCTTAGTAATCTCTCAATTATTTATTTTTACTGAATCCAATTCATTTTAGTGAATTAGTTATAATGTGAAGTTAAGATATTTGAAACCAATAAATTTCCCTTCAAGATTCTAAAAACAATTTTTATTTTAGAACACCACTTGCACCACAACTTGCTCCAACAACAAGCCCTTGGAGGCCACTATCCACCTCCACAGCAAGTGGACCCACGTCACCCATTAGCAGGAGGCGCCGAAGTTGCTGATCCTCTTACCGGAGCATACTCCGAAAACCACCCTGAAAAAGTCCTATTACAACCAGATAACATCAGCAAAAAGGGCGATTACATCGAAAACGTAAATGAAGTTTACAATGCAAATAGCGATAACTCCAACAATAAACAACAAAATTATGAAAATCTGAACTATGATAATCAACAGAAACAAAACCAAAACAATTATGATGCTGTTCTGAATAATAATTATGAGAACAAACGCCAACATCCACCATTGCCTCCACCACCACCACCAGGAAGCGATAGGAATACATATAGTACTGTTGATGGAAATGGTGGTCCTGAAAGTGAACACATTTCCACTTTGGGCGGAAGACCGAGATCTGTGGAAACCAGGGAAAGGAGGAGCTTGGACCAAGGGTAAAAGATAATAATAAGTCATTTTTAATAATCAAAAGTAATCAGAATTTTAAATATCCATGATGGTATCTCATCAGAGAAACCTTCTCAAAGGCATCTCGCTTGTCCTTTCTTGGTCTTTGGTTAAGGCAAAGAATACAAAAGTGCTAACGTTAATTTTAAGAGCTAGAGTATTTAAACAAAATTAACTATTGTTTTTCTATTTCCAGAACCTTCATCACCATCCCAGTATCGGTTGTCCACACCCGCCAAACGCGCGACGTCTCAGCCTCTCCTACGACAGACGTCACCACAAAACGCGTCATCAGGGTAGTTGCCCCCAACGACGTCGATTTCTCACTAAATGCTAAAAATAATGCCCAAAACGAGACAGTAATAATTGAAACCATGAATTATGGCAAAAACGCCGAAAATATCTGCCTATCTATCCAGAGCTTCGTCAGTGGTTTGATCAGTCTTCTCCTCATCATCATAGTCGCCAGTTTGATTGCAGGATTCTTGTTCGTCAGGGTACGAGTTTACGATAGAAAAATAATAAATTAAAATTGTTTGTGTCTTTATTTCATGGCTTAATTTTAAAAAAATCGTACTTGTTAAATGTTTGCATGTATAAAAATCCTGTTCCGAATTACTTTAAAAAATAAGTGTACTTGTGGATTTATAGTCATTAAGTACCAATGGTGATTTTTGATGAAAGACCGTGATATGAAGCTATGAAGTATAAAAATTAATTTTTACAATTTTATAAATGTGTGCACGCTTTTGTTATAGCTTACTAAGTGTGTATATTTTAATATGTATTTGTTGTATATACCTATATACATATTAAGTTATATTATACGTATGTATATGAATATACACAAAATTGTTTATACTCATAAACATACATATATGCATGTCTATTTTTGCTTGTGTGCAAGTGTCTGCTTTAGTTGTTAATATTTATTTTAAATTATTTTCACATGTATATATACATATATGTGTATACGTTTATAGATTTATTTAGTATATACACATATATACATATATTTGTATGTATGATTAGATCGTATGTGTTATGCACACAATGTAATTAAAAATATATTTTTTATAAATTCTTATAATTTATAGATGTCTTTTGAATTTTGAAATTAGTTTGTTTTAGGTAATAGTATATACATCATAAATAGTGGTTTTAGACTTCTAAAACTAAGTGTATTCTTGTCTAGAAATGAAAAAAAACGTTTATTTTTTATATTTTTTAAGTTTAACTGTTCAAGAATATATGTACAAGAGGATTTTTTCAAAATTTAAATTATTTTCAGAGATAGAGCTGTTGGACCACGACAATCCTGTTTTCCTCCTCCTCAAATCTTTAAACGCATTTTTCTCGAAACTAACTGGACTGATTTACTTCTCATCAGTTTGAATGCTCATTCCACACAAATTCCGATTTTACAGTTTTTTAAAAAATCGAGAGTATCAAAAGTGAACTTTTGTTGCAAACATTCGCCATTTTGTACAAAAGAATTTACTTGTCCGTAGTTCATACATACAATGCGGCATTTTTGTAAATGAATTATATTTTTTATATCGAATTTTTTGGAGGGCTAAAGTTAAGGGTATGGTCACGTGCCAATTTTTTTGAGACTCGCTACTTCATCGCCTGCTAGAATTAACACTGACTATATTTAATTTTCAATTCCAACCGTGTTATAGCAAACCCGTGCTTTAAAAGTACAGTGTTTTAAGGGGGTGGTCCCAATTCTCGAATCGTTATGGCAAATACGTGTTATGCGAGAGCTTCTGTATTCAAAACTAAATGACCCGACAGACGTTGTCCTGTACCCGTGTGTACAATTTTTTAATATAATATACTAATATTTACCGTTTACCTAAAAATATTAATTATTGTTTTTTAAATTACTCTTCACGCCAAAATGCATATCCATTTATAATAATAGATGAGCGATGTTAAATGCAGAACTGCTTTAAATATAATGATGAACTCAATTACCCCACTATATTGGAAATAGAAGTCTTTTAAACGGTATAACATAACCATAACCATAACATAACACTGGTACTTCATGTTGGATTAAATTAATTTAATTTTTTATTATTTAAAGTACCCAAAATTGCATCTTAAACTTCTCCTAATCCATATCGTGAGGACCGAATTGTGTGTATTCATCTTTACTTTTCCAACTGTTGTTATAAAGTGAAATTTTTACGAATTTTAAAAATATTGTGGAAAGATTAGTAAAAGATGTAAAGAAATAATATAAATAATAAAAAAAAAAACTATTGAAAATTCAATATCCGAATCTTGTGTTGGCCCAAGGCGTGCGCTCGTATTTTTCGCATTCATCGCATTAAAGGTAGGACCGACCCTGATTAATATTTAATTTCATATTTTAAGTAAATTCATTTGTCAAATCCTGTTCATTTGTGTATCAATCAATCTGCCATAAATATACTGCATCTTATATTATTATTTCTGGCATATCTCAGCTGCTTTTTGGCAATAATAATGTAGACATTTCATTCATTCATAATCATAAATTGATTATACATATTCTAATATTGTCTAGGCTCATAAGTAAATTGAAACTTTTGGTAAATGATAGTTTTCAATTGTTTTCATTGTAACAATGACATGTCGCTTTTTGCAATTTTTTCCATTTATTTCTACAATATTGCACATACATCCCAATACTTTATAACCACATACATCCTAGAAAATATCCTTAACAAACTTCAGAAAGATTTATCAAAATCCGAATAATCGTTTAGAAGAAGTATACAGTGAGTGCTCGCTTTATATAATAGCAATAAAGCTCAAATTGATTCTATGTTTTAGTTAGAAAACTTTTGTATGAGAAAAAGAAAAGGGTTGTTTTTAGGGTTTTCCCGGCAATTATTCGATTTTTTTCTGCCGTAAGAACCATCTTTGGACTTGAACGAACATTTCAAAAAAAATTGTCCAAATTGGTTCAGGAGTTGTTGAGTTATGCGCTTACCAACACATTTTGCGATTTATTTTTATATATAAGATATATCGCGTTACTAAAATCAGGGCACCATCTACTCTAATCCCTCGGAGTTAAATGGTAAGTCGGTACTGCCCCTCAATCTACGCCATCAACCTTGTCGGACATGTTCGGTTGCAGACGGCAGCAGTTGTATATGGAATCGGGTGCCTTCCATGTGTGTGTGGTTTACGAAAAGTCGTGTGGCGGCATTCCAACGCTGAATGCGTTGACGTGCGGACGGTTTGTTGTGACGAAATTTCGAAAAACGAATAAATATTACGATAATGTGTGGATAAATGAAATATTTTGTAAATTAAAATTTAAGTAACTAGTGATGATAGTGTATATCGAATTAAGTGTGTAATTAACAACGAACGAACGAATTTTGTTTTGAATTTTTAAAAAAAATTATTTTTAAACAAAATGTTTTCAAGTGTTAAGACCAATTGTCCTCAAGAATTGTTTACCTTAATATTTGTATTTCTGTGCAACATCGGTTAACAAAAATGTGCCGGCCCGGTGTCTTGCGTTAATTCGCAATGTTTGTGGTGGAATCCCCAAAAAAGTGTTAGTGATGCCTTCCTCCTAAAGTGATTCCTTTCCTTTTCCCAATTATGCCTTTCGTGCAGCGCGTCGTCGAACCGCGCGATTTGAGCAAAACGAGTTTAAAGGATGAAAGAGGCAGAAATTTAGTGGAAGACGATGAATTGCAAGCCGTCGCCAATAACACTTTGAGCAACGCTCTGAGACAGTTGGCTTCTTTGGTCTTAGCCGCAACCGATGTCTTCGCCGAACTCACGGTGCAACTGGATGATGTCGGGGAACGGTCGAAGGCGCTCAAGACGCGCATGGACGCCATCGAGGTGGCCGTCAGAGGATACGACCCGAAGAAAGTCCCAGTCCGTAAGTGGAAAAAATATATTTATACATTATTAGTATTATTCCTTAAATTTTCATCTCCTGAGTCCCGAATCCTTGGGCTGGAGCTTTCTCTTGCGCAACGGCTTCTTTGTCGGTCGGTTGATCCTTGACAGGGTCGGCTTTTTTATGGTAGACAAACTTTAGTCATTATTAGATCGTATCGTATCGAAACCAAACACGTATACTTAGAAATACATTTGGACTTTTTGTTGTTTGCCCATGGTAATTAGGAGAACTTAATCGTTGTTTCACATTAAAGCCTCTGTAAGACCAATTTGTGTAATTTTTAAATTCATGCGATATCAAAAACCCGCATATTATTTATACACCATCTGTATGTCACATTTTTATGCAAACTCTTTAAATTTACGCTATATCAAAAATCCGAACTTTATTCTGCAATAAGATTTTGCTTGGCCGTAAAATGGCCATATTATATGATCATTTATTATTTTGTTAAGAATGTAATGATTGGATGCTTTATAGCATGTTATTCATATAAAAATTACCAATTTAGGCAATATCAAAAATTTTATTCTGCAATTAGCTTCTGGGCCTCAAAATGACCCAAATCTCTTGATTGATCAATCATTAACCAACTTATTTTACTAGGAATGTAACGTTTGGATTCCTTAGAGCATGTTATTTATAAAAAAAATACTTTTTAGATTATTCGATTCTAAAGAAGAATTAGATCTAAGAGAATCTAGAGAATTCGATCTAAATTCCGAATTTTATTCTAGAGTAAGACTCTGTTTGGCCCTAAAATGACCCAAAAATCATTGCATTTATTAGGCATAGTCTATTATTAGGCCTAGTACTTTGCTAGGAATATAACGTTTGGATTTCTTAGAGAATATTATTTAGACAAATATGTACGTTTTTAATTTATTCGATATGGCCTAAAATGGTCCAAATTTTCTTGTATGGCCAATTATTAGACCCATTCACTTCTTCACATCTTCCAAAATCATTCAAATCAACTTGCTGAAGGCCTACTCTCCTCAAACGTGTCCAAAATTCTAAAAGAACGAACCTTTCCAGATTTAACAAGTTAAGAACTTAACTTTCACATAAACTAAAATGACTGTAAAGCTTTCGTGTAAGATCAAATATATGTATAATATTTAATTTCATGATTTTTATCTGGAAGTATTATTTTTCTCTGTATCTTCATTAATTTTCAAATTTTAAATTACTACTACTGGATATCATGTGAAAATCTTATTTCTACACATTAGTTCATCAATGTACATCACTTTGTTTACTAGAATGAAATTCTGATACGATTGTCTACAGATTGATTATGACATGGATCATAATTATATCATAATCGGTTTTATGGCCTATTTTAGAATATTGCATCAACACCATATAATACATTCAATGAAAGTTCTCTCATGATTATGCATTACAAATCAATGTCAAATCATTCGATATAATTTGCTATAAATATAAAACGTTTATAGATAATTATAGAAATAAAAAATCATATTCTTGGTAAGATTTCTCCCTTTGAACATGACACTTGAGCAAATTCTTTTGCGACCACATTTCTGAGAATCGTATAAGATGCTTCGATATACAATATCTACTCAGAAAAACATGAAGCCTTCTCAGAATATATAAATAACAAATAGCATTTTCTATGTTTATTCAGTACTTTTTGTAATAATATACCTGCAAATAAAACTTTGTCGTATAATCTTTAACAAAACCAGAACAGTGATACATTTACATAATTTAATTCAGCGATGAATAGATCACTCTATAAAAGAACTATTAACTTGTATTTTTTATTTTATAACCTTGGCTGTTCAGAAGTAGAAAAGATTGCTTCTCAAGCAACAAAATCGGTTTGCGTGCTAAAAGCAAAAGTTATGAAAAAAATGTACAGGTAAACCACCTGCTGTTTTAAAACCTTGTACGTGCTCCGGTAAAATTGTTGCAAATGAAAGTTTCATTGAAACAAAACCTTTGTTGGTAACTGAATGTGTGCCCGCAGTGGTTTCCAACCTTTGGGGGATGCGGAAGGTACATATAACATTAAACCAAAAAAAAATTAAAGTTATTTAAAAAAAATGATAGAATAAAAAATATTTTTTTATGTATTTTTAAAGAAGAAAGCAATCTTCATGGCATTGAGCTTTTGTACCGGAAAGTTGCTACCCCGGAGAGGGGGCATAGAGTTGTATCGAACATACTTTTCACCTCTATAACTTTAAATAATAAATAAATATATGTATATACAATTTTGGAATCAAGTACAACCTAGTTAACAGATCCTTCATTGTAATAAGAACTTGCAATAAATACATAAATTATACCAACGAATTAGTGTTTTATACAGTCCATAGTTACAAAGATTGTAATATATGCTAACAAACTGAGTTATTGAAGAAGGATCTTTTCCTGGTCCTAAACACTTATTCTATTTATTTGATCTCATTAGAAAGTGTATGGTCAACCACTGGGCTGCCCTGGGTCAACCTCCTCAATCACCAGGTTTAAGAAATGTACATTACATCAGCTCATAGAACAAATGGTTTTGATTTTTGTCTACTAAAACATCTAAATAAAAAGCAAATAACTTTCAATTTATTTGCACAGCTCATTTCGCCCAACATTGATAATTCTACATTGTATGATACGAAATCTGTGCCGTGAGAAAACCCGTGTTGATATTTATTTAAAGATGTACGTGTCGTTTTATTGTAACTCTGTTTTCATTCTGTTGGTCAAATGTTTACTTTTTAAGTACAGTCCTAAATGAAAACAAATTATTATGATACAAAGAAGTACAATAGCACCATTATTCATAGGACATGAACCTGTTTCGAAATATTTGTCACATATTAAATTACTATACTTCTTTTACAATATTATCTACTGATAAGTTGGATTTTAAAACAATAGTAGAATTACTTTGAAACAAAAGAAAAATTGATATGTACTTGTGTACCAGGTTTATTGACCTCACTTGCAATTGTGGAAAAGATGATTTTATTCTTCGGGAATAAGAATTACAAAGTACGAGGTCGATAAAAATACTGCTTATAGCTAATTTATTAAGATTGATGTATAAAACAAGGTTTTTATTGTTAACCTAGTTGTCAGCAAGTTAGATTTTTTTTGGCATCGCTTACGTAGGGCATCTATATTTTATTTCATACTATTATTATATTTTATACTATCTTTATTATAATACATATCTTTTGTATATCATATACTGTCATTTTTGTAATATACTATATTCATTATATCATATGCTATCGTCTTAATATATTCTATACTATCCAATATTCTTTATAACCGACTTCTTCATTCTTCTTTCCTTCTTTCTGTTCTGCTTCTAACTTTGCTTCTTCTTCTAACTTCTAATTCTGTTCTATCTCACTTCTTCATTCTTCTTTCATTCTTTCTCTTCTGCTACTAACTTTGCTTCTTCTTCTAACTTCTAATTCTGTTATATCTCACTTTTTCATTCTGCTTTTATTATTTCTCTTCTGCTTCTAACTTTGCTTCTTCTTCTAACTTCTTCTTCTGTTCTATCTCACTTCTTCATTCTTCTTTCATTCTTTCTCTTCTGCTTCTAACTTTGCTTCTTCATTCTTCTTTCATTCTTTCTCTTCTGCTTCTAACTTTGCTTCTTCTTCTAACTTCTTCTTCTGTTCTATCTCACTTCTTCATTCTTCTTTCATTCTTTCTCTTCTGCTTCTAACTTTGCTTCTTCTTCTAACTTCTAATTCTGTTCTATCTCACTTCTTCATTCTTCTTTCATTCTTTCTCTTCTGCTACTAACTTTGCTTTTTCTTCTAACATCTAATTCTGTTATATCTTACTTTTTCATTCTGCTTTTATTATTTCTCTTCTGCTTCTAACTTTGCTTCTTCTTCTAACTTCTTCTTCTGTTCTATCTCACTTCTTCATTCTTCTTTCATTCTTTCTCTTCTGCTTCTAACTTCTAATTCTGTACTATCTCACTTCTTCATTCTTCTTTCCTTCTTTCTCTTCTGCTTCTAATTTTGCTTCTTCTTCTAACTTCTTCTTCTGTTCTATCTCACTTCTTCATTCTTCTTTCATTCTTTTTCTTCTGCTTCTAACTTTGCTTCTTCTTCTAACTTCTAATTCTGTTCTATCTCACTTCTTCATTCTTCTTTCATTCTTTCTCTTCTGCTTCTAACATTGCTTCTTCTTCTAATTTCGTTCTATTTCACTTCTTCATTCGTCTCTCTCTTTTAATCTTATTCCTTCTATCTTCTAACTTCTAATTCTATTAAACTCCCATCTTCTTTTATTTCTTCATTCTTCTTTTAATCTACGCGTGTAATATTAGCCAACCTTCCTTCAAACAGCTATTGCTGCAACTATAATAATATTGATAATTTTTCTTTCTTTTTCTTCATTTTATTGGTCTAACTTAATATATAGTGGATATTATAACATATTATTATTTTAATATCGATATTATTATTTTAATATCTGCACCTATTCCATCAGCAAATTTTTGGAACATCAGTAAATTTTTGGTAGTAGTAGAATGTCTGCATTCAAGGCCAATCCAGTGATTGGACGTCTGAGTAGGATATAGTGGAATTTAAATTAATCAATGAATTAGAATTTTTTTTTTGAGACATATAATATTTGCTTGCCCTATAACAAATCTCAACCGAACGCACATTCTTAATTAATAAAAAAAAAGCTTTTTGGCACCAAATATATCATCAATGTAGATCTATCTTCCTGGCAATCAATAAAAGTGTATTTTACATCATCACCTCTCCGAACAGGATATGTTAGAAATATTTATTATTATTAACATATATTTCAATTTATTTTTCCAATCACTTATTAACAAGTACCTCTGCAGATATTCATAGTTAAAAGCATTTCAATTCAAACGGTAATGGAAACGCCTATGTAACTTATGGACAGATAATGTCGAAGGCGCGTTATTATAGTATGAGCGCTAGTCATAAAAAGGAAAAGATTTTTGTAATATAATAAAATAATTAATAAACCAATAATACATTTATAATAATTTACATCATTATAATTCAGTTGTATGACTTCAATATTTTACTTCAGCTTATTCATTTAACAGCACCCAGAACTTTAGGAAGCCTATGAGCTTTTGTGCTCATTTTTCTAACGGCGTTGCTTTATAGATGCCAACTCTAAAGATGGTCCTAACTGTATTTGATGCATTTATTATTAAAATTTCTGGAATACTACTGATTTTTTATTGATGCAGCAGTGCCCAGGGTAGGGCCACTTTTGCATTGCTTCACATTGCCATCTATATTCTCAATTGAAAACCATTAATGCTTGACATCAGGTTGTCCAAGGCGGATATCAAATTTGGAACTTCTAATTGCAAACCCATAGAACGAACCACTATTTCACAGGGTATACCATTTTATGCTGTATTTTATTTAATATGGTGACTAGTCCTTCTACTAAGTGCAGGCATGCAAGCATGCATTTTTTGTAGGTCCATGATCTTTCTTCGTAAAGCATGAAATGCACTCGTGAACATGTTATATATATGTTCATTCACATGAAGAAAAATAGTACTCACACGACTGCATCGAATCCAATAACATGGGCGGCTAAAATT